TATATTGGTTCTACTTAAGTCTAACCCTAACTATATCATGCCTTAATACATGCTTAGGCTCCCTAATGATCCCTTATTCCATTACATTCCAACTAAATACATCTCAATTCCATTCCATTCCAACCAATGGGCATTTTGGACCTTTTGCACCAATTTTCCTATAAAAACAACCCCTCCCTTAGCATTTTACATACAAGAACACACACATAAACACTTCATTCAGTTGAGAGGGAGTGAAGAGAAGAGGGTGAGCTTGGTGGAGGATAGGAGAGAAAGAAAGTTTGCTAGCAATTCAATCAAGCCTCAAGTAAACCACAACACAACTCTCTCTTTTATTTTCCTTTTTCAAATACATCTTATTAGAGGTTTTATATAATATTTTTCAGATGTGTTGTAATGGTGTTCATGTGTTCAAAGTGGATGAATTGGGCTACAATCATTCTTCTGCTCATATTTCTTCTTAATAGATGCAAAACTACATTTTCTTTTCATGTCTCACATTTTTTTAAAAGCATACCATCACTCTAAAAATCTGAGTTATTGATACATTATTTAGTATATTTTCATTACAAAAGAAGTGGAAATTTTCCCTTAGTTGGCCTCTTTACTCACAAATCTTCTTATTTTGAGTATTGTGCATGAAAAATCTATTTTATAGCCAATTTTCAAAAATTCTAGGAAAATGTAGAAACATCTTCTGGACCTTAATTTTACGTCAAAATCTTCCTTAAAGATTTATATTTCAAGTAAAATTGGTTTCATTGAAAAAGAGTGAGCGGTTTGAAAGAAAATCCGATTTTTGTAACGGTTGACGAATCTGGATAGCGCTAGAGTGTTTCTTAAATAACTAAAAATCTAGAAAAACTATTCCATTTCCGAAACATGTTCTGAAAACTAGATTAAATTCTCTACGAACCATAGGAAGGCCGAGTTCAGGAAAAATCTGAAATAGCCCTTTTGATTTTAATCTTTAATTAGTACTAATCTGGAAATTTTGTTTTGCATGGGTGTTTTATGTTCTTGTGTTCATGAATATGCTTATTAGTACATGATCATGTCTTGGTATGATATTGAATGTGTTATGGTTATGTTCCTTATCTTCTTCAATTGATGATACTCATGCTTATGTGGATATTACTATCTTGTTAAGTTATTCTAACTTTAATTTAAGACATCTAACTCAACAGAAACCTTAATTAGGGTGATATTAGGTTTCAATCACTTGAATAATGAAGATATGATAATGTGTTATGTATGGATTGATGGGATGTGATCCCTAATTGAAGGTTAAGTCTTGCGCAAGTGATTATCGCGTAAATCCTATAATGGAACAGATGTGTTTGGACTCTTTGCGATGGTTTGATTAGTGAGATAAGGTTGGCCCCACATAGGGCATTCAGGAGGATAAAACTTTTTTTGGAAGGATAAGGTTGGATTCAGGGTGATAAAACTTTTTCTTTTCACCGTTCCTTTTGAGGCCCTACGGTTGGCGCTACGCGGTATATAACCGTTGGTAGGCATCTGAGGTAAGTTCTGCAACAAAGTAGCAAAAGGGGGAGTTTTGAATAGTTCGGTGTCTAATTCTTGTGGTTGGGAGGATGAAATCTCTTTGGGAGATTTCTAGAATACTAACCACTAATATTATAACCTTTGTTATCTATTTGAATGACATGTTCATTTTCTCTATTATTGAAATTGCTATTATTGACTTGAATATCATGCTTCACTACTTGCTTGCTATAAATATGATGGTGTATTGGATTGGGAAAAAGGGACGGGGTGTGTGTGTGCGTTTACTAGGCATTCAAAGCTCATGGCGTTTCATGCCAAGTATTGAAAACTATTGGACCAGTCGAAGGCAAAGCTAAAGCATTTGAGGATGTACGGCTACCCTAGGAGGATTAGAAACTAGTTTGTAAATGTGTTGTGAGATTGTAAGTGATAGATCCCATGTTGTATTTAAGACTTGATTTTGTAATTATTATATATTTATACATATATTTTATATTACCTATTCCTTATTTGCCGTCAACTCGTGTAGACCTTGTGTTAATACTTCGGTAATATCTGTCAAAAAGGTAGCTTTGCTATCTAAGGAGATTGGACCTTGAAGGGAGGTTAGTTTGACTCCTCCAATCTTTCTTGGGATCTTACTTGGTTATTGACCAAAGGACTCATTGGTGATATTCTCTAACTCGTAATCTTAGATAAACCTTATATTTATTTGTTAATATATCCTCTAATATTCCTGATTTTTGGGGCATCACAATACCATAATGGAGTCTTTTGAAGCTCTTCAAGTTACTTTAAATTGAATTTAAGTGTTTGAAAAAAGGAGACAACAGATAAAAGGTTAGATCGGTATTGAATGCTGTAATGAGCTCTCTTTCTTTGGAGTTTACTTCTGTTTTTTGGTGAAGAATTTGTGGTGTTTTGTTACTTTTTGATATAAGATCATAAGAAGACTGAGACAGTTCTGTTTCTTTCTTGGTGTTTCTGGTGTTTTGCTGCTTTTACGTTTCGTCATTTCTAGATAATGAAAACATAAAAATGTCAACATTAAATCCCAGAGAAAATTGAGCATGTTAGAGAAAATTGAACATGTCAGAGAAAATTACACTTAAGGAAGGAAATTAAGGTGACCAGAGAAAATTATAAATGTCAAAGAAAATTGGACACTAAAAATTAAGTGTCAGAGTATTAATAAACATGACAAGTCAGAGAAAATTTCCATTCCACAATTAGCAAGATAAAATAAACAAAGCACTGTAAACACGCCACATAAACTTACAGAACAAAGAAACCAAGAATTGAACAAAATAAACATACTAGAGAAAATTATACATGCTAGAGAAAATTAAACATGACAAGCCAGAGAAAATTTCCATTCCATAATATGAAAATGCCAGAGAAATTTACAGACAACCAAAGAAAATTAAGCTTGACAGACACACACAAGGGAGAAAAGTGATGTGGCCAAAGAAAATTATAAATGTCAAAGAAACATAGACATAAACAAGAGAGTAATATTACATATAGATGTAAAATATAGCCAGAGAAAATTCAAGAAAGAAATATAAATCTAGCAAGCACAGAAAATGAAAATGACAGAGAAAATTACACATGTCAGATAAAATTAAACATGGCAAGTCAAAAAAGTTTATAGAGTAGAGAAATTTGAATGAATTGTATTTGAAAATTACACAGAGAAATACAAAGAAATTAACCATGCTAGAGAAAATGGGGGAATAAACAGAAACAAATAGGGGAATAAACATGTCAGAGAAAATTCAAAGAAAAAACATAGATCAATCAAATATCAGAGAAATTTACAGACAAAATCACACAAACATCTTCAAGAATAAGTTCAAAACTTAGAGAAATAACATTTTTCAAATTCATGTAGTTTTTTATTACGAAATTGAAACCCTAATTAATGGAAGGCTAATATAATATGCAATTAACTATGTTTCCAGATAAAAACTCGTTGGATTGTAGAAAACTTACCAGAGTGATGATGAAACCCTAATTACGAACTAATATGCCCTAAGATGAAGATGAACTGAAATGACGATGAACAGTGAAAACGGATCAGAGAAGTTTGTGAGGAAGGAATGAAAAAGATTTGGGCAGAAGATAATGAAACCGTAATGTCAATAGTGAAGATGATTGTGAAACCCTAATTATCCTATTTTCTTACTCGTGAGGATGGTTGGATGTTTGGAATGGAATTGAGTCGTCGGAATCCAGTGGAGTGTTCTTAGTTGATTTGTGAAGGGTATTTTGGTCCAAGAAAGAATTAAAAATACGCACATTCTAGTTGAGGGACCTGATGCATCATCCTTTTTTTTGGTGTCTATCCTTTAAATTACTATTATTAGGGACCTTAAAAAAAATTTCCATAAAATTAGTTTGTGAAAACGGGTCAGAGAAATTTGTGAGGAAGGAATGAAAAAGTTTTTGACATAAGATAATGAAACCGTAATGTCAATAATGAAGATGATTGTGAAACCCTAATTATCCTATTTTCTTACTCGTGAGGATGGTTGGATGTTTGGAATGGAACTGAGTCGTCGGAATCCAGTGGAGTGTTCTTAGTTGATTTGTGAAGTGTATTTTGGTCCAAGAAAGAATTAAAAATACGCACATTCTAGTTGAGGGACCTGATGCATCATCCTTTTTTTTGGTATCCTGTATCCTTTAAATTATTATTATTAGGGACCTTAAAAAAAATTTCCATAAAATTAGTTTGTGTTATATATATGAAAAATATTATATAAATTGGTATTATATATTATACACATGCTTGATAATTAGTTAATAATATTTTTCAATTCGTCAATCCGCTTCAAACAACCCAAACCTCAAATTTGCTAATTGGGCATTTGATTTACAATTTTACTTTCAAATAGTCTAAACCGCACTGTGCACACCCCTACTACATACATTTGCAATAGTAAATTTATTACCAATAAATCTTAAATTTTTAAAGCAACACATTACAAAAATTAGATATTACACGATACCATAAGAGCATCTCCAATGCACTAGGCATATAATACTTATTAGTTAAAATGCCTAGTGTGATTCACTTTTTTTAATTCCAATGCACTAGGCATATGATTAGGCATTTTGGCTCAACTCATATTCACTAGCTACATGTAGCTAGCCTTCAACGCTAGGTAAAATGTATTCAATCATTATGATCATTTCCCTCCATCTATGTTATTGACGTGTCATTCTATAAAATTAATAGTATTTGGATAAATAGCTAAAATAAAGAGCATGGTTGGAGTAAAAACATAAAATAGTTGATAGGCAAAATAAAATATATATTTGGATAAATAGCTAAAATAAAGAGCATGGTTGGAGTAAAAACATAAAATAGTTAATAGGCAAAATAAAATATATACTTTATAGTAATATTTAGATAGGTAAAATGCCTACTACCGTTGGAGATGCTCTAATACATATAAAAAAAGAAAAAAGAAAAAAAATTAAGAGATGACAGCAACACGAGTACCACAACGCCACCCAACACTTCCCAGAAATGAGAATCCGAATTTTGAGCATAGAATTTCGGGTAATGACCAAACATGAACACTTGTTTCTTCAAAAAAACATGCAAACCATTATCAACCGCTCTATTATTCAAACTCAATCTCTCTCTCTCTCTCTCTCTCTCTCTCTCTCTCTGCATTTCTTCACCACCCCTGTTCAGCTGCCTGAGAATTCGAATTCGAATTCATGGAAAATGGCTCAGAACCTTCAACTCATCCATGGTACTTCTACTCTTTCGTCCAACCCTTCTCACATTTCATTTCATCTGTTGGGTATGCCTTAGAATTGCTGTTCAACAACCTTTCAATTTGATTCATAATACATATATAATATATGCTATGATTTTGCTTTTCTAGCTCTACCAATTTCTGGGTTTATCTTTTTTTGTATGTTTATACTCAGTATCCATTGGATATTTTGATTAGAGATTATTTCAATACATACATATGTACATTGTTTGATATATATGGGGAAAATTTTGATTTGTATTGCTTGTTATGCTTGTGATGTAGGTTAGATTATTGTGCCATTTTTAATTTTGTTTAATTTAATGCATTGTTTGGTTGCTATGAAAACACGGGAAAAAGAAATGGAAAAGTATGAAAAATGTTACAAGTTGGCCATGGCGGATCTAGGATTTTGGCTTAGGAAGGGCAACATTGTGTTGAAACTTAGCAAAATCTCACAATTCCATTGAACCCAATTTTCATTTGGTGGTAAGATGAATTTTTGATTTTTTATTAAAAAGACATGCAGAAAAAGAGAAAGAATAATTGGCTTTTTGGTGGTGGTATTTTGGCTTTTTGATATATTAGCCACTCCCCAAAAAGCCTCTAAAGATCAATGTGATTCAATAATATATATATATATATATATTACAATTTTCACCAATCATTATCTTGTTAATTATTTTGTTGTTTTCTATTAATAATTAATAATTAGATTTTATATTTTAGTTTTTGAACATGATGATTATCATCATTTAAAGACATCACATGCCTACATAAAAATGAGGACGAAAGAGATGGAGGAAATAAGAAAAGAGATGCATAATAAAAAATTTGCAAAAAGTTTTTTAGCAAAATTAAACATTTAAAGTGACAAATTGCATGAATTTTGTCGAAATGAAAAGAGGAGGTATAAACATTTAGGGGGCATACTAAAAACTTTAATGCTATGTTTGGTTCATGGATTTTTCCCTTTCTTTTTTCAAATCTCTCTCCAAATCCATGAATCACACACAGCGTAAAGGATTAAATTGGATCACCATTTGCCCAAAAAACTTAAGCTGATATATCAAGCTAACTCCTCCTTCATTTGCGACCTAATTTTGCACGTGTAGCGACAAATAGACTGAGAGAATTATGTGCACGAAGATAGGTAGAATAAAATACACAATGACAAAGAAAACATGCGATACAATTGAGTCTAGGACCTCTAAGTTATTAAGAAACAGACCCAACAATGTATATCAAAGCTGGCATTCACACAGTTCAAACTATGCAGAATTCGCTTTCCGATTTTGGGATTTCTTGATTTCTCATTTCTCATTATCAGGTTTTATTTGTTCATGCATATGCAGTAATAATTAGATTTTCTTGGTTTTTGTCTTTCAATGGTCTTCATATTTCTCTCAGATTATATGTTTAAGTTGTTCGGTGAGTTTTTTTTTTTAAGTTGGGATTTCTTGATTTCTCCGTTCTCATTGTCAGGTTTTATTTGTTCATGCATATGCAGTAATAATTAGATTTTCTTGGTTTTTGTCTTTCAATGGTCGTCATATTTCTCTCAGATTATATGTTTAAGTTGTTCTGTGAGTTTTTTTTTTTTTTTTTTTAAGTTCTTTCTAGTTTTAGGCACTTCCACATTAAAACAGATACTCTTTATTAAAGTTTGGTCTTGCGTTAGCAGCAACAATGCCCATGACAACGCTGATGAAAATTCAGAAGGGGAGTTTCTCACTATTGGACACAGAAGGCTAAATTCTGCTCCTTCTCTATCTCTTGCTGAGGAAGGTAAAATCTTAATTTTCTCTTCAATATAGCTCATAGTTTTGTCTCTTAAATTCTCTCTTCTTTATTTCAAGAATTCGTAGGAAGATTTCTAGTTTTCAATTTCTACATATGCTTCCAACATATTTTCATATGAAATAACTAGAAGATTAAGCACACTACCGTGTGCAATTGAAATTGTCAAATTGACAATACAGGCAGATCATGGGTAGCGGGCAGCCCATTTTGATTTATTGATTTTAGTTTTTGGTCCGTACATTAACTGCTAGGCACAAAGCTTCACCATAGTGAATTGTGTGCTTTACTGCTTTATATAATAGAAGAATAAATGTGTTTTCTCTTCTCAGCAATAAAACAAAGCATTTTGCCCCTGCAGCTAACTTAGATTCTAATCTCTCTATCTTTTTAGACTTGAAATCTTTAGATATGGAGGAAGAGAAAGAAGACGAGTCCTCCTCCCTAAGAAGAGTTTCTGAGGATGACCGGGAATCCGAAACAGCTTCTTCTAAGGCCAGCACCTCAGATTCAGACGCTCAACAAAATCAAAAATCCGGTCAATGGCGCGGGTTCTTCCGTAAATTGAAAAAAGGACCAGCAGTGGGCTTGCATACCTTCCATCCTAGCATACATAACATCAGAATGCTTGCCACTAAAAAAAGCAGAAACGCAAGACAGAGCTTGCCTGTGCTGGAGGAACCAACTTTAGATCCTGAATTGTATTGCTTCAAGTCAACCTGGAAGAATTTCTCACTTCCAGAGCTTGAAACTGCAACCGAAAATTTCAGCCGTGGTGTGTATTTTCTTCATAATTTTTAATTTTTATAGTTCGAAAAAATTTCCGCTTCTTCTTAACTTCAGTAATACTACATATCCAGAATTTTACCCAAAAACATCAATGCGTGGTTTAGATTTATTCTCATCAAACTTATTAGCCTTGGGTATGTTACTCTGGTGGGGGAAAAAAATATATAGGACACAGTGTGTCCCCAAAATGTCCTGCTGGAAAAAAAAAATGTGACATTTCCTCCAACGTGTCCATGTTTCATAGTGATCTTCATTATGACTTCTTTACTAATGGCGTCTCTAAAAGTTGTTATGTTCTATACTAGGCTAATAAACATTTTCTGCCAATTATTTTTCTTCTTTCTGAAGAGAATGTGATTGGGGAGGGAGGTTATTCTGAAGTTTACAAGGGACATTTGGAAGATGGGCAACTTGTTGCAATAAAAAGACTGACCAGGGGATCCCCAGAAGAGATGACTGCGGACTTCTTATCCGAGCTTGGGATTTTAGTCCACGTCAACCATCCCAATATTGCTAATGTTATTGGGTATGGGGTTGAAGGAGGAATGCACCTCGTTCTTCATTTGTCTCCCCACGGGAGCTTAGCATCATTGCTTACAGGTTTTCTACACCATTTTGATTCTTCTAAATTTTAAAATCTTCTAAACTTCTAAAGAAGAAAATTTATGGATTTTTGTTTTTTGTTTTTAACTGTGTTTTCAGGTGCTAAGGAGAAACTAGAATGGGGCATCAGGTATAAGATTGCACTAGGCACAGCCGAGGGCCTTTCATACCTTCATGAGGGGTGTCAGCGAAGAATTATCCATAGAGACATCAAGGCTGCTAACGTTCTGCTTCGAGAGGATTTTGAGCCTCAGGTATCTCTTTGAACCCAAGGATGCTCACCTGATACACTCCTTCAGATATTATAGCTTTTTAAGTATCTACCTGATCAAAATATGCTTTTAACAAATTGTTTTTCTTAAATTATATTGCCGCTGTACTCGCTGCAAGGATAGAAACGTGAACTTCAAATAACAGAAAACAAGTACTGAAGTCTTTTTGACACTAAGGCTGTGTTTGGTTCATAAATTTGGATAGGGATTCGGAAAGGAAAATGGAGAAAAAAAATTAGCTTTTATTTTATTTATTTCTCTCTCACCTTTCTTTTTCCTTTCCAATCCAGACACAACCTAAACGTGTCGGTGGGACTGCTGTTTGTGGAAAAAATTGTACTTCTGTCTCATTATATATGTATTTATATCTTTATTCACTAAAACTTAATATGAAGATGTGTCAAGAACAGAAATGGGATCTGTACTTTTGTTTATTAGTTTTTTTTTTTTTTGGGTTAAGTTTTAACTTTTAGTTCAATCTAGGTTTCTGATTTTGGGCTTGCAAAGTGGCTCCCAGAGCAGTGGACTCATCTCACAGTATCACAATTTGAGGGCACATTCGGGTTTGTAATTGCAAAACCTATTTTGATTCCTCATATTTTTAAGTAGCTTTTTTTTTTTACCCAATTTTTTTTTTCTTTTCCAAATCACAACAGCTACCTTCCTCCCGAGTTTTTCATGCACGGAATAGTAGATGAGAAAACTGATGTCTATGCCTATGGGGTACTATTGTTAGAGCTAATCACTGGACGCCTAGCTTTGGATAAGTCACAGAAAAGTGTTGTGATGTGGGTATGTTCGTTTCTTTCTATGTTGTTGGAGATTATTAAATTTAATTGGCAGAGACTTCAATCAAAGACACTCAAGCTATTTCAATTATTTGTTGCAGGCTAAACCTTTGATTGCTAAGAATAGTATCAGCGAACTTGTTGATCCATCACTTGACGGTGTCTACAATTCTGAGCAGTTGAATTTTATGGTCTTGACTGCTGCTTTGTGTTTACATGAATCTTCAAGTGAACGGCCTCAAATGAGCAAGGCGAGTGTTTGATTTCATGAATGCTAACTAAGATTTTTTGTTGCACACACTGAACTGGAATATCATTTGACAATTACAAATAACAGAAAGATCCCCCAAAGATAGATACCATTTTAACCATATTTTCCAATTTTCTTTTCTTCCCTGACATGGTTTTCAAGAACCAAACAGAGCCTTATATTCTAGTGGACTTCATTAGATTGTTTGGACCAACAATAAGTTATGAACAAGTAGTTAGGAAATGGGCATTATCTTCCCCGGACGTGAAAAGCTATTAGAAAAAGGGAAATATTCAACCTTCAAAAGCATTTTTTTGAACTTTTGGTTAGCTAATTTGCCCAGTTCTTTGTAGTTCAAGCTCCTTGCTGAACTAGAATATTCGATGTTTAGATGAAACGTAATCAGTTTATGTTTAGTTGAAGGGGTCAGCCACGAGGCTCCAGCTAAAGGGAGACGAGGCAAGATATACGCAACTTTACTTTCATTTCTGGGGAGTTTTTTTTCGTGGATTTTTCAGTTGCTTTTTTCATGTGTTTGGGAATTGTTGGAAATGTTACTGTTTTGTTACTGGAAAAGTTGACTTTTCCAAATACATTTTTAGCTTTTTTAGCTAATCCCAAACAAGGCGATTTTAATGAATTCAGTAATCACACAGAGAGCGGTACAAACATGTATTTATATATATACGCCAAAACTTATATTGCCTTTCTGAATGAATTCTATTGGCATAAGTTTCGGTTGAGTTGATTTGTGCATGTATTACAGGTTATTCGGATGCTAAAAGGTGATGAAATAGGCGGTTTGGAAAGGGCAAAGAAGTTGCAAAGAAGGCCTGTCCTCAAGAGGACATATTCGGGGCACTTCGATGCGGAAGATTACAATTTGACCATGTGCTTCAATGAAAATCAGCCATTGCAGATTGCTCTTGAGCTATGAAGACTTTTGTCAAAAACCAAAGTTTGATGTCAAAAATGAGTGATTACATGGCCAATTGGAGCTTGCATTCTTCCATAAAAAGCTTGTTCAAATATGGGGTGTTGTTGGGTGGTGTCTCTGTGACATCCTTGACGATCATGAAGGGACGATATGGTGTGCAAATGGGCAGTGAAACCAAAAAGAGTGTAGCTGACTAAGTGGAAAGTTGAATCCGAACTTGGTGCAGTTTATTGGGATTGTTTATATATTTTTATTTTATTTTGGGAATATATATCGGTTTATTTTGTGTAGTTTTTGTTTGTAACTCGTGGGATAAAAATAATTTATATAAGTTGAAAAAAATTGAATATTGAAAAATTAGGAGAAAAATACTTTTAGTTTTACTTTCTAATAACTTTATAGACTTTCGAATGTGAATCTCTTATGTATGAGTTTTGAAGAGATGGAGAAAAAGAAATCAATTGGGAATCAAATATCAAATTTCAACAGAGAGATTTGAATCTCAACTTAAATTCTGATATCATGTTAAGTCACTAATTATCTCAAAAATTAAGTTATTATAAAATAGATTTAACAATATATATTAAGTTACTCAATAATAATATATGGTCATGTTTGATTCACAATACTAATAGTGAGGTATTAATAATCCTATCAAATTAGTGTGGTATTAACTATCCCACCCCTACCCCATTACTAATAATCCTACAAATTTATTGGATTAATTATCCATTGGATTAATAGTCCTAAACCAAAATGTCAAAACAAACATAGGATGATTGGGCCCACGGATTAATAATCCTAATCCCATGCTTTAATCCTTCCAATCAAACATGCCCATAGGGTTACTCAACTTTCTAACCGTTTAAATGGTTAGAATAAAATTATAATTAGTAATTCAACATGATATAAACAAAAAAAAGGATAAATTTTGTATTTAAATCTCAATGGTAACTTAATAATTACAAATAAATTTGTATGTGTTTGACTTATGAAAGAAAGTTTGGTTGTACAGAAGGATATGTATTAGGAACATAAATAAATAAAATTACTCCTTTTTTTTTTTCTTTTCATAAACTTAATTTTTTAAATGACTTGATTTTTTTAAACAATTTTTTTTTTTGTTTGGCTATAAAAATTGAGATAGTCTACTCAAATATTATCCTCATATGATATATTAATCTCAAGATTGGGTTGAATTCAAAATATGAATTAAACGGTGGTTGAAATTAAACCAAACATACAAATGAAAATCATTTTAAAATAATTTTTGAAGGGGTTGATTTTTTTTCCATGTTCACATCTTAAAATGAAAAAATTTAAAAAATCTGTGAGTTTAATTACGTATCTTATTTTAATGATTTAAATCGGTTCATTTTGTATAGTCTTAATTTATATCATTCATAAAAAAAGATCAGTTCGATTTGATAATCGTAACATTTTTATTTTATTACATTTGTCTCTGAAAAATAAGGGATAAATATATTTTTGAAAATAGACCATCTATTTTTTTTAAAGGAAAACATAATAAAATGAAAATGTTACAATATCGGATCAAATATAATTTTTTACATAGATGATATACATTAAACATCTTATAAAATAAACAGTTCAAATTATCGAAAAAAGACCCGTGATAGGTAAGGTGTGATTTTTTAAAAAATCAAAAGTTTAGGAAAAGCTAATTTATGCCAAGTTTGACAAGTTAAAAAAAAGTCAAAAAATTAAAAAGTCACTCAAAAAGTTAAAAAGTTATTACTATTCACCACAAGTCAAAAATTACGGCTGCACAACTTCCAATCATAATTTTTCCTTATACACTAATTTATACAATTTTTTAATACATATTTTTTCATAAAAAGTCAAAAAGTTAACCCAAACATCCATATTTTTTTCCTCAATTTTTTAGTCCAAAAAGACAAAAAGTGCACTTATTTAGGACACTTCAAACAACCCCTAATCTTATTTTTTGACTAATTAACCTAGCTAAATTAGCTCCGTTTAGGAAGAACTTCTGAATTTTTTTAGTTTAGATATGACAATTGTAAGGAAAAAAAAAATAGGAAGCTTTTTTGATAAATCCACTTTTTAAGAGCTTTATTTCATCCAACCCATACTCTTTTTGACTATTTCATTAGGTCCTATTTGGGATAAGAAGACCAAAATACCCTTTTCATCTACTTATGTTCCATTTAGTTCACAATATTTTCTTATGTTTCAATAAGTCCTATGGGTGACATAATTACCAAAATACCCCTAATGTGAATGTGTACACCGTCAATGTGAATGTTTATATCGTCAATATGTAGGGGCCCGGTCCATGTCGATCCTCATGGGTGCCTGGAAAAATTCGAGTTGGGCCGAGGCGGGCCCGAGCCATTGACAATGTAAATATTCACATTGACATGTTAACATTTACATTAATAGGAGTGTAAAATTGGCCTGCGTCCCGTGGCGGCGCGAAACCCTCCCGCGGCCCATGGGCGGCCCGGGGCAGCCCGATCCGGCCAGTTGACAATGTGAATATTCACATTGACATGTTAACATTCACATTGATAAGAGTATAAAATTGGCCCGCGGCCCATGGGCAGCCAAAAGCTCGCCCACGGCCCGGAGCGGGCCCGGCCCAGTCCTTTGACAATGTGAATATTCACATTGACATGTTAACATTCACATTGATAGGAGTGTAAAATTAGCTCGCGCCTCGTGGCTGCCCGAAACTTGCCCACGGTCAATAGGCGGCCTGGGGCGGGCCCGGGCCGGCCTGTTGACAATGTGAATATTCACATTGACATGTTAACATTCACATTGATAAGAGTATAAAATTGGCCAGCAACCCAGGGCGGGCCCGGCCCGGCCCTTTGATAATGTGAATATTCACATTGACATGTTAACATTCACATTGATAGGAGTGTAAAATTAGTCCATGCCTCGTGACTGCCCGAAACCCGCGCCACACCCCGTGGGCGGCTCGGGCGGGCCTGGCCTTTTTTTTTAATTCTTTTTAATTTTTTCTACCTAAATTTTATTGTTTTTCACAAAAAAAGACACTAGGCCTCAGCGCGGGCCTAGCCTTGAACCGAGCCTTGTATGGGCCTTAACCGAGCCGATGGGCCTGGCCAGGCCGGGTTTCAAAGTAATGGCCCAAGCCCTAGCCTAGGGTCTCGGACTAGGCTCGAACTTGGGCCCAAACGAGCCTTTCCCGGGCCTGGTCGGGCCGGTTCATGGGCCAAAAAATTAGGCCCAGGCTCTAGCCCTGGCACAAGGGTATTCGGGCTTTGGACGGGCCGATGAATCGAATCTCGAGCAGGGGTAGGCCTGGGCCTAGCCTCAAGCTTAGGTCGGGCTTGGACGGGCCTGGCCATTTTTTTTTAATTCTTTTTAATTTTTTCTACAAAAATTTTATAATTTTTCACAAAAAAATACATTGCGCCTCGGGCGAGCTGGGCCTCGGATCAAGCCTTGAATGGGCCTTAAGCGAGCCGATGGGCCGGGTCGGGCCGGGCTTCAAAGTGATGACCTAGGCCCTAACCTAGAGTCTCGGACATGCTCGGGCCCGAACCGAAAAGAGCTTGCCCCGGGCTGTGGGCGGGCTCTGAGCAGCCCACGGGTCGCGGGCTAATTCTACATTCCTATCAATGTATATTTTAACATGTCAATGTGAGTATTCACATTGTCAACGGGCCGAGCCAGGCCTACCTCGGGCCGCGGGGAAGCTTCGAGCAGTGGACAAATTTTATACTTCTATCAATGTTAATGTTAACATGCCAATGTGAATATTCACATTGTCACGGGTCGGGCCAAGCCCGCCTCATGCTGCGGTTGGGCTTCGGGCCGCCCACGGGCTGCGGGCCAATTTACACTTTTATCAATGTGAATGTTAATATGTTAATGTGAATATTCACATTGTCAACGGGACAGGTCGGGCCAGCCCTGGGTCGTTGGCCAATTTTATATTCTTATCAATGTGAATGTTAACATGTCAATGTGAATATTCACATTGTCAACAGGTCGGGCCAGCCCGCCCCGAGCTGCCCATGGGCCGTGGGCGGGTTTCGGGCAGCCATGAGGCACGGGCTAATTTTACACTCCTATCAATGTGAATGTTAACATGTCAATGTGAATATTCACATTGTCAACGGGCCGGACCAGGCCCGCCCCGGGCCGCGCATAGGCCGCGGGCGGGTTTCGTGCCGCCACGGGACGCGGATCAATTTTACACTCCTATTAATGTGAATGTTAACATGTCAATGTGAATATTCACATTGTCAACAGGCCGGGCCTACCCCGGCTCGCAGGCGGGTTTCGGGCCGCCCAAGGACCAATTTTACATTTCTACCAATGTGAATTTTAAAATATGAATGTTCACATCATAAAATTACTAACCGTTTAAAAAATATTTATAAGGGTATCAAAATTAAATATAATGGCATAAGTGTCCAAGAAAATAGTATAAATTAAAAAAAATGACTTTATGAAATAAAACTATACATACATGGGGTTAAATGGGTTAAAAAATTCTTTTATAAATTTCTTGAGTTAAAACACTTCTAAATATAATTTATCAATAATTTGCTCAAAAAAATAAGATAATTATGATTTAAATATAACATTTTATCTTATTAACTAAATTAATCAATTTTGCCTTTGTATGATTATTTAAACCTATTTTGTCACTATAATTAAAAACTAACTTTCTAAATTTTTTTTTTTTTTTTAAGTGACATCTCTCTAACTTCTTTTTTTTTTTTTCTCATTTTTTTTTTAAAAAAAATGAAAAAGTCAACTTTTACGTAAGCGTCGGCGTCAAACTGAGACTCTTTCATCCATCGCAGTGACAGTTTGGAAGACGAGTATCCGATTCAACCTCATTCGCAAAATTTTCCCGAGAAAAAAAAAAAAAGAGACACAAGAAAACTGTTTTCATATTGTCATAGTATTTTCTTCTGCTCCAAACGACTCGTCTCTGTACTCATGATTCGATTTTCGCCTCTTTCGGTCATCCTCTTAGTCTCGATCTCGTCGATCATCTATGAATCTTCAAGCTCCTCGATCATCAATCCCTCTAAAGTCAAGCAAGTTTCATCCAAACCCAGGTACTCATTCTTTCTGATCCCCGCTGTTTGGTTGCTGAGAAAATATAGGAAAGTCAAAACCAAAACTCCAATTTGAATCTGTTTATATATATATGTATAATTCCACCAACTGAGCTTAATTGATGATTTGCAGAGCTTTTGTATACGAGGGTTTTCTCACGGACGAAGAGTGCAATCATTTGATATCTCTTGTGAGTGTTACTAAAAGAAATTCTCGATTTGTGTTGATTTGGAAACATTTAGGAATATTTGAGTTGATCAGTGTGATATTCGTGACTGCAATTTGAATTGTGTTTGGACGTTTGGGAATGTAATTAGGCGAAATCGGAGCTGAAAAGATCTGCTGTTGCTGATAATGAATCTGGAAAGAGCAAGCTTAGTGAGGTTCGAACTAGCTCCGGAATGTTCATCAGTAAGGGAAAGGTATTTTTTTGTGCAATTTGATCTAATTTTTTGTTGCTATTGTTATATACACAATCACACGTATATTTTATTGGTCATTAAATCATATGCATAATCCCTATTGTGGCGTTTTTTTGAGCTTGTTCAAAGTTTTTGCTTGACAATCTTGGCCTCTCCTAGGGTAAAAACTTTTAAATATGGAGAATTAGTTGATGTGATCATGCAATTTAAGCTGAGAAGCCTTGATGTGTGAATATTTTTACTGCTCTTTACAAGCATTGGGTTCCTTGTATTGAAAAAGTTCTCATTAGAAACGTAATGTGCACATCTTGAAAGAGGAATGTGCGCGCGTGCGTGTGTGAAAGAGAGAGAGAGAGAGAGAGAGAGAGAGATGTAAAATCCTAATCTTTTGATTAGTCTCCCAAATGACACTAAACTTGAAGTACAAGTTGAATGAAACAAGCATTAATCCTAATTGCATGAGTTAGGTTAGTCAGATTTTTCTTTTTCAGTTGGTTATATAGTCTACAATCATGTCCTTTCTCAAGAACTTAACCCTTGTTCTTTTCCCTTCCTGTTGCCGTTTTGGCACCTTCAACTTGGACAAGACCATTCCTCTTAGCCGGGGTTCAAAGCGAAGGGGGAACAACTGAAGCTGAATGAAGTGAACTTTTTCTTATCAAATTTATAACACAAAAATTACATAGCGTTTTTAATATATGAAGTCGCAACTTTGAATGTCTCATCTTACACATTCTAGGATAACTAACAGTGAGAGAGAGAGAGAGATCTACAAAAACCTATCTTTTTAGGGAAATATTTCATTAATCCCAATTACTCGAGGTAGGTTATTTGGATTTATCTTCTCTAGTTGTTTATGTAATGCAATATCCTCAAGTAAGCCCAAGACAATCATGTCCTTTCTCACTATCCCAACCTATATTCTTTGGTCCTTCCTGTTTCCCTTCTGGCACCATTAACTTTGGTAAGATCACTTCTCTACTGCCAAAGATGGGATTTGATGTAAAGGGAAGCAACTGAAGGTGAACATGAACTTTTTCTTGTCAAATGTATTCACACAAGTAGAGATCCTCACTAAAGTCCAAGAGAATCATGCCCTTTCTCTCGATTTCAACCCAACCACCCCTGCTCAAGTGGAATAATATCTGATGCAATGTGGAGCAGCTGAAGGTGAATGAAGCAAACTTTTTTCTTGTCAAATTTATTGACATAAAAACTACATATGTATCACTTATATATAAAGTCACACCTAACAACACTTTTTATGGGTAATTGATGTTGAAAAACTGCATCATGAATTTTTATTTCTGTGAGCCTTGTACCTAATTTCTGTATGTTATGCTTTCATTTTTGCAAATAAGCTAACTTTGAATATTATGTAAAAGAAATAGTTTGCCTGATAACTAACATGATGTGCTCAGTAATTATGAACGAGAAATTTGAAAAAAAAAAAAACCATTAACAAGTCTAGGTTGATCAATAGAAAGTAAAAAAAAAATATATATATATATATATATATTGAAGTAGCTAAAAGAATTTGCAGGAAACAAGTTGAAATAAACAATTATTGCAGCTGTATGAATACTATTTAATCTTGAAATCTATGAACAAATATAGTAAAATTACTTAGAGAATATGTAAAAAATACTTTTGCAAGTCATTTGTGTGCATTTTTTTAAAGGGATCAAAAATCACCGTTTGTGTTCATTATTTGAATTCAGGATCCTATTGTTGCTGGTATAGAGGACAAGATCGAGATGTGGACCTTCCTACCGAAAGGTAAACCATGTGCTGAGAAATACTTGTTCAATTAGAATTTTCTTTGTAAGCCATCACTAGCGGATAATTTTGCAAGATTCAACCAATCTGTCACAAACCAATGCTTAATTTGTGGACTTACCGTATGTGCAATAATTGTTGTTCAATACATACTTTCTTTTTTTTGTTGTGTAGTAGGTAAGCAAGGCTTATTCACCAAAGAAAGCTGAGTAATTTTACAAAAAGTATTCATTTATTCTTGTATTAAAGGCCACTGAAATTCCATTCTTTATAGAAAATTACGTGTTACTTATTTAATCAGTAGTGTAATGCTATTTCTTCTGCACAACATCCTCTTTCTTTTTTCCTTTGTTCCCTCTTCTTTATCGTTACTAAAAAACATAGAATTAAATGAAACTGAAGTTCAGAACCAAGAAGCAAGTATTAGCATTGGACTAGTAAATTAAAGAGATGTGGCCTTCATAGAGCAATTCAATTAAAAATCCACAGATTAATTGTCACCCTGGGCTCTCATGATGAAACGGTTCAACCAAAACCCTTTTTAACGCAGCATGAGAACTCTAAAATGATTGAAATTGAATTCTGTTAGAATCCTTGCCTTCTTATCTGTGAGACCAAGTCAGCTTCTACTATCAGAAATGGTAAATATCAGAATATACACGAGCGGGGAGATGGAAAACAAACTTTGAAATTATGTAAGAAGTTATTTTTCATTAGTTCATTTAATTTATTTGAGTAATAGTCACAAGAAGTTCCAATGTGTTGTGTAACAAGTTTCTAGGGCTACCTTTGATCCTTATCTCTTGCAATCATTTCCTTGAAATCCTTTTACATCTAACGATTCCAGTGCTACATGTTTATCTAATATATAGTGCAGCCTTTTTATCTAAGGTCCCAATTGAATGTTGATAGGGTTAAAAAAAAAATGTGCAACTTTATAATTTGTAAAATGTGAGGAGTGCACACAAAGTTTGATTTGTGTTTATTGTATCAGAAAATGGTGAAGACATGCAAGTTTTAAGATATGAGCATGGCCAAAAATATGACCCACACTACGATTATTTTGCTGACAAGGATAATATTGCCCGGGGTGGACATCGCATGGCAACTGTACTGATGTACCTCAGTGACGTGGCAAAAGGTGGTGAAACAGTATTCCCATCAGCGGAGGTTAGTTCAGAATTCTTTTCAAGTTCAGTAGAACAGCATTGGCATTATTCCATATATTGAAACTCTAACCAACTCATCTTCTTAATGTCCGGTAATCCATGTATCCTGAAACTCTGTTTGCTTATTCTTTTTTCCCCGGTTAAGAGTGAAATCAAAGTTTATTTATGTACGAAGCATTGTATTACATAGCTTGTTTCAGTCGCTTTACTTAATTTACATCTGCTAGGTTCTTCTTGTGTTGTTTTCTCCTCAGGTTTTGCTGTTGTGGCTTTTAGGTTGAAAATCTCCTTTTTGACTTAAAAGTTTAGGTTTAGACTTAACGCCTTCTTCCAATCTTTGTGTACTTTGTGCATCACCACCTTAGATGCTCTTTGTGGAAGCATAAAAAGAAGTGTGCTAACATTGTTGATGACCAAGAAGAGAGAACATTTGAACTGTCAAGGTTTGGGAGCATAATTGTCGTATTCCGAACCTATTGGTGTCATTGCTTGTCAATTTCTGATTGATCTATATTTATGTTATTAAATTCATTTTTCTAGTTCTTAATGTAACACATGCAAAGAACTATTACCAAAATCCAGCTATCTCCTATTGCTTTGTGATTTTTGTTAAATGTGACTTCAATGATAAATTAAAAATTCTCAACAGGAATCTTCTCGTCAAAGAAAATCATCTACATTAGATGATGATTTATCCGAGTGTGCAAAGAAAGGCATTGCAGGTGAGTCACTTCAACATCATAGTTGCTTTTACGAATTCTGCTGCTGCAATTTCAACCACTTAGGCCTCCTTTGGTAATATTTTCGCTTTAATGTTATTGGGAAATTGGAAACGAAACTGGTTTGGTATATTTGTTTTATTTTCAAAAAACTGGAATTGATTTCAAACTTTTCAAATTTTTTTTTTTTTAACGGAAAAATGTGCTGTTACTTGTTTTCAAAACAAGTTTTCAATCTTTCCTTCCTTCCCCACCCACCCGCCACCACCAACCATTGTCAGCCACCAGCGAGCTCAAAGGAGCTCCGGCCACCCTGTGACCTCCAGTGATTACTCCAGCCATCAAATCCAGCAGCCACTTTCAACCAACCCAACTGCCGGCACCACATCTATCCACCCTCCACCGCTAGCCATCTGGCAACTCACCAACCATGTTTATTCTTTTTTTTATTTTCATTTGTTTTCAGAACATTTGCATTCACCAAACAAGTTTTTTATTTTTTGCCAGAATAAATAAATTTGTTTCCTGTTTTTGTAAACTAAAAACAAGAAATTGACAACTTTTTTTTTCCCTTGCTCCCCCGCCCTGGAAATACCCAGTAAAACCACGAAAAGGGGATGCTCTTCTTTTCTTCAGTCTCCACCCTGGCGCCATTCCAGATCCGAGCAGTCTCCATGGAGGATGCCCGGTACTAGAAGGTGAGAAGTGGTCGGCAACAAAGTGGATCCATGTAGATTCTTTTGACAAGATTGTCGGAGCTGGTGGGAATTGCACAGACGATAATGAGAGTTGTGCGAGATGGGCTGCCTTGGGGGAATGCACCAATAATCCCGAGTACATGGTGGGAACTGCAGAACTTCCAGGATACTGCCGGAGGAGCTGTAAGATATGCTGATGGGTGTTAATTCATGCTTTCGATTTACAGTTTTCTATTGTCTGTTGTATCGTTCCACGCTCACTCTCTTTTTCTTTTCTTTTTTTAAATCTGCGAACTGTCATTTTTAGTCGTTTTGTAATGTAACCTATTCTAAGCCATTTTTTGTTTTATAGCAAGCATGTTTGTTCCTGTTAATTATGGTTTTGTGGTTTTGAACTGTTCTACTGTTGTTGAGATGGTGCAGAGATTTGTGAAAATGAAATTTGGATATGATATGGTTTTGCTCTTTGTTGCTCGGAGTTGCTGAATTTTTACTATTGGCTGACTAGGGTTCATATGGCCCATCTCCTAAGTTTTTTTTTTTTTTTTTTTGAAATATAGTTTATATCTAGCCTAATCTTTAAGGATATAGGGAAGGGGAGCCATTGAGGGGGTGAACCCACAACAGGAAGCACGCGGTACATACAAAGAGTAATGATTCTCATTCACCCCATCTGATGAGGTTTAAACTCTCAACCTCGTATGAGAGTGTTGTGGTGCCATTGGGCTACAAGCCCGCGGCATCTCCAATGTTTTCGAATGCTAGTTAATCCTGTTGTCACTCAATCACCAACACAGCAGCTCCAAAGAATTACTCTAATAATATTTTTATTTATTATTATTTTTTTTTAAATTTCAAATAGAGGGCATTTTGTGTAATGGACTAGTGCCATGCTGTTTCTTGTGTTTATGCAGTACTATGCCCTCTCTTCTTTTTTTTTTTTCTTAAATCTTTAGGATGAATTAATTCAACAAAATCAACAACTTAAGGTGGGATTTGTTACTTGTTTGTGAATTTAACTCCCTCAGGCGGCTGCTGAGGATGGTAAGCAGGACAAGATTTGAAGGTAAATATAATTCTATGCCTCAATGTGAACTTTCAAACTTTATTAAGTCACAAAAAGGTGTTGCTAGCTGAAAATTCAAAGCCAAACAACTTTTAACAACCAAGAATATTCAAACCTTTTATTTTTTATTTTTTATTTTTTATTTTATCATGAGGAATACAATCTTGAAATGGCTACCATTAAAAAAAGAGATGAAACTCTACCCGTACAACTCATTGGATAGCCAAAATGATAATAATAATAATAATAATAATAATAAAGAGCATAACTCGATTATGATTCTCAAAGAAAAAAGTCCAAACCAAATACGGTACTATAAAAATAAATAATAATAATAATAATAATAATAATAATAATAAAAAGAGATTAGAAGGGTATAATAATATCTCATTCTGAATGGTTCTTTCTTTGTCATTGAAAGCCAGCTAACCAAAAATTAAACAAACATGAAAACAAGCTTGCCTTGATAAAAGAAAAATACTATGACACATAAGCTGTGTTTGAATCAATGATTTTTTTGAGGAAAAAATAAAAAAAAAAGAAACAATTGAATAAAATATAAGCTTGATCCAAACATAGCCATGTAGCGGTAAGTTCAATGAAAAGGCAGTTATGAATTTGTAGAATATGATGATTTCAAGTTTACCTATAAAATCCATATTTTTCCCACATATTAGTGTAATTCCAATAAACAGGGATGGTGATATGGTGCGATCAGGAATACCATAAATTCAGAAAATTATTTTAAGAAAATTAAAATTCATTATGAATTTTAAATTTATACTACACACTCACACTTTCGAGGTAAATTTTTATGCTCCATAACATTTTTGATGGCACAATAGCAAGTTTTATCAGTCTTGTAGCTGTGTTTAGGTCACAAGAATAGGTCTCTCCAAAAAAGTTTTTACAAAAAATAAAAAATAAAAAGAATAAAGTTTGGTTAGGATAAGAGTGGCGGAAAGTGAAGGAAAATGGGGGAAAAAAGTAACATTTTTGTTTCTATTCATGTTAAAGTAATGAAAGTTACAAGAAAATTAAGTTACGTTTGGTAGAGTTTTGTAATTATGATTTGAAAGTATGAGTTATATTTTAAGTTTTTGGGGTTTGAAATTATGATTTGAGTGTAGAAAATTTATTTGGTAAAAAGTTTTGAAAATAGTTTTAATTTGAGTGGAGAATTGTTAATATGACATTTGATATTTAATACAAAAATTTACAACTCATAACTAAACATACAACTCAAAATTATTTTAAAGCACATAAAAAAATTTAAAAAATTTCAGAAAATGTTTTTTTCGATTATATAAAAATTAACATATCAATTGCAAAAAAAAAAAAAAATCACTATTCCGGCCAGACAACCAGTTAGGCAAAATTTTCAAAAAAAAAAAAATTCTGAAAAGCGCCGCTGAGACAGAGCTCTCTGCAGAGTTTTGGAAACGTGATTCCAAAACTCCTACCAAACATCATACTCGAATCAATGTGTAGAATCATTATTTGAGAACACAACCAAACACAGCCTTATATTTTTTATACAACTCCTATTACGATGGTAACTAATTTTTAGTTTCTCTCTCTCAAAAAAAAAAAACAAAACAAAACAAAACAAAACAAAACAAAAGAAAATTTATATATGTTCATAGAAGTGGTTATTTCACTTTTTATTATCTATTTCTTTATAATCAAACAAACCTTATGTACGGGGTGAAATATCATTTGCTTTCCGTACTCCTAGAACTCAAGCTTCACGTAACGACGTCTGACCTGGAAACAGAGAAACAGTGAGCTGCCCGGCGGTGTGTTACCGGATAGACCCTCCGCCGATCAAGTTAGATCACTTGAGGAAGAAGAATATTGTTTTAGAGAGAGAGAGTCGTTCAGATGGCATACCTCCAACGTTCCCCTTCCTTCCTTTTTCTAGGCTGGCCATGCAGCCTCAGGGATTATGCGCGCACTACCTCTGTTGTCCTTCCCTAGACAAGTGGCAGTGCTCGCCTCTCACCACCATATGCTTGTAAAGGCCAAAACCTCCAAACAATATATGCAGAACTGCCAAGCGGTATTGACGCGTGCTTGGAGCGGGTTTCCCCTCCACCACATCATTGGTCCAGGTGACACACTCAATCGAGATATCATGACCAACCTATCCCTTGAAGAAACATAACTACGATCAATACGGCCGAGCTATAAGAAGTCGGTTCTTCCGGATTGACTGGCCGTGAGGCGCATCGGCCTTCGCCCCGGTCTAAATTCATTCTGGGCTATGCTTGGCGTTGTTCCGATCAGGAACACGAATGCCTAGCCGAACGCCTAGTTGAATCACAGCTCGGTCGGGAACACGCATGACCCCATGCTCCGGTCGACTGATCTAGCTCGGCCAGGTGCGATAGCCCGTGGAGCCGCTCTAACCGAGCAAAGGATGTGACTCGACCACCTGCTATAACCCATGTTACCGTAGCTCGGCCGTACTTGTCCGGCGCAAATCTCCCTCTCAATTGCCCCTTAATCCCATCCGAGCTAAGCGTAATTGGGATTACCGCCATGACCGAGCTATCCTATTTGGTCGGTCTTCTGAATTGCGCCAGTAGTCTTGTCACCGGTCGTACAGCCGTACTAACAGAACCATCTCTTCGCTGCCACGTGGCTTCGCTCCATTGGCTCCGTGCAGCCCCACAGCTGTCTCCCTCATGCGCAAAATTCAAACGGCTGCTGCCGTTTGGGTTTCCCACCCTGTTTATACACACACGAGGGGTCATTCGTGCCCTCACTGTTCATCTTCGTTTTCGAGCCCAAAACCCTAGCTCTCAAACCCGCCATCGCCATTCCTCAGGCTATTTTCGACTACCTTCGATCTTTCAGAAACAGTAGGCGAGCTCGAGGTGTGCTGATCTTGCCCAGGCATCTATCATTCGTAAGTTTCCCTGTCCCTCTTTGCGTTTTGCTCTCATTGTTCTTCGTGTTCTTCGTTCTTGTTTTTCATGTTTTTGCCTGGCATTGTTAGAATCCTATCAGTGCCCCCTCTTAGGGGCAATATTGGTACACCCTAGGAAAAACTGGAATCGAAGAAGCAGATGGGGCTCCTGTGCCCCTTGCTTCCCCAAGTTTTAAAGCACTAACTCCGTATTCGGGATGAACAGCCTGAAATCTGGGTAAGACCGAGCTAAAAAAATAATTTAGATCCATAGATAGAACTTCAGCCGAGCAAAAACTAGTTTGTGGCTTCTCGTTGAGGCTGCAACCGTGCTGGACATAGGGAATCAGAACCGAACTAGGAAGGCGAAACCGGCCAGATAGTCGAGCCGAGATAGGGGTCGGGCCAGTCAAACGCTCCAGAAACCTTTTACCGAGCTAGGAACTCCACATAGAAGCCGTGCAATTTATGCCGCGCTAACCCTTGGACTGATTTCTTAACAATGCAGAACAAACTAGGACCGACCAGGCCTGTTCTGCATTACTTCCGGTGAGGCTCAAAGTCCGAGCAAACACACAAAATTTTTCACCGAGATACGACCTAAGTCACCTCAATAAATAAAATCGGGATAGATGGGGAAATACCGGTTCATGGTGAGTTCTCCCGGGGCCCTTACTGAGTTCCGTAGAGAGTACAACATTCCAAACGATGTCCATATGGAGCTCGCCAACAAAGGAGACACCCCATGGGGCGAGCTAGACAAGTGTCCCTTCACGGTCGTGTCCATAATGGAAGGAGGACTACGCTTCCCGGTCCAGCCCCTGATCTGCGAGTTTTTGAGGCAGACCAGGCTTTGCCCGACCCAGGTTTCCAACAATACATACAAAATAATAAACGATGTGGCCGAGCTAAATAGATTGCTTGGCCTGAATCTCTGCCTCGCCGAGATATTTCACCAATATACCCTTAGCAAAAATAAAGGTGGGCTTTCCTGGTATCTGAAAGTCAGGAAAGGCCGAGCAAAGCTCATTGAAGGTAATCCGGACAAAGAAATCAACGACGACGATTTCCTATGGGTGTCCGGTCGTTATGAGGACACCGAGGCGCCCATACCGGGCTGGTACATTAGGAAATATTTTAGAAGTGCCAGTGAGTGGCTCGGTGAACCGTGTTATTTTCTTTCTGCATTGGTCTTCTTTTACCGATCTAACAGTTGTCTTCTTTTTGCAGATTATAAGCTCTTGGCAGAGGATTACTCCCGCGCTAACCAGGAAGCTATAAAGGTCGTGTTGCGCCATCCGGCCGAGGAGCGAGAGTCACCAAAACTGCTCGACTTTGAACCGACCTACCACTACACAGCACCGCGCAAGAGCAAGGTAACCGACTTTTTGAGTGCGCCTTCCCCGGAACCAGATCCAAACCTTCCACTGATCAAACTGGTCCCATTGACGGCCAAGCAAGAGATGGCC